TTCCCAGTAGGAAAAGTAGTAATGCATTACATGCGTGATAAATAATGTAATGTATTTCGTATGAGTTCTAGATTCTTTTACTGTACTAAATATGAGCTAGTTAGTAAGGGAAATTCCAATATATTTTTGTTCAAAGAAATTCTGAAAGTCAGAGATGTTTGCTTCAAAAAATAATGAACTGTGAAATTTTTTAAAATTAAAAACAGCGATTTTAAAATTTATCTTATAAAATGGTAAGGTCTTGACAAATCTTGAATACTAAAATTCTTTTTATTTTGTAGCTAAGTGTAATCAATTCTATTGTTACTTTTCCAAAAACCTCAGATATTTTTTTATAAATTTTTTTTTAATATCAAATTTTTCCTTTGTTGAAGTTTTTGAAAATTTTGAAAGTTTTTACCAGTTCTAAAATTTTTCTTAAGTTCAAATTTAGAGAAATTTTTCAAACTGTTCCCCAAAGTTAAAACTTTGAATTTTCGAAATGTTACAAATTGGTTAAAAAGTTGAAAAGCTTCCAAAAATAATTTTTAGTTCTTTTGAAAATTTACGCTCCTCGACTTGAACTTGTATAGCCATCAAACAGTTTCATAAACTTTCAATTTTCATAAGCGGGAGAAGTTGTTAGAAGCTTTCTATGGATTGTAGATCCGTGATGAGCGCTGCCTTGCCCGCGGGCAAGGCTCTTTTAAGCTTTCTACAAATTTGTATATTCGCGTGCTGAGCAAAAAGCTCTCTCTGCCCATCGCGGTTGTACATCAGTCACGACGAAAATACATATGTCCTGCGGGATAAGCTTTTGAAAGCTTTATATAGATTTTCTATGGACGCGCAGAGAGTAAAAACTCTTTGATCGTCACTTTTTGATGGACCCGCACAAAGTGAAAGTTTTTCTGGTCGCCACTGACGTAAGACGTCGAAAACCAAGGCGAAAGAATTCCTTCTGTATATCTGTATTGGGCAGAGAAAGATTTTACTCGCTGAATGTCTACACACAAAACGTATAGAAAGCTTAAAAAAACTCTGCCTACGGGAAAAGTTATTGCCCACCCCTGCTCAATTTATCAAAGTTGGCTACTTCCCAATATAAAGGCTTACTCTGGCAAACACTGGTATATATTTAAGTCAGCGATGATCAGAGAAAGCTTTTACTCTGCACGCGTCCATACAAAATTTAAAGGAAGCTTATAACAGCCTTGCCCGCGGGCAAGACAGTGCCCATCAGTGATTTAAAAACTTTCATGGAGGCGAAAGAGAAGAGCAATATTTCTAAAGGTTTTTGGCAAAAACGCCGCTCAAGTAAGGAAGCACAACGAAAGCTTTTAACGGGTTTGAAAGGGTTAATGGGGCAAAAACGCTTTTCAACACATTTTGGTCTGGAAATATGAAATATTTCAAGTTTTTTTTTTTTTGTTGATCTACATGTGTGTTCTTTTTAAGGAAAACTCATTATACTCGTTATATCATTTTTGATTGCATTTTACAACAATTTCAATTGAATCAAGCTAATTATCATTCTTGTGATTAGTATTAACAAGCGTTAACCAATAATAACAAAACACACAAAAAAATTACTACTAAATTCTTTTACTACTCGAACTACGCATAAATTTATTAACTTTAAGATTTATAAAAAAAAAAATGTATATTTTTATATGTGTATACTATATACATACATATACATTCACAATATACGATTCAATCTTATTTGCATCAAATTAAAGCGCATTATTTGTAAATTAAATATCATTCACTACATTATAAGTCAACTTTTTATGTTTAGTAATTGGTAATGGATAATTGGTGTAATAAAGCAACAAAGGGAAGCACAAATGAACAAAGCAAACCGCAAAATATTTTTTCCCATAACAAATAGAATGCACTGAAAGTAAGGAAAGAAAACTATATGCGACCAGCTAGCTATGCGCGAACCAGAGCCAGAAGTTAATGGCTTGCGCGTTTCATATCGAATTTCCATTTTTTAGTTAATCAAGTTATTTAAGAGGCGGTTAAGTTGCATTTATTGTAGAAAGAAACCATGTGAAATTGACTTTGTCTTCTAATTATTCTCACTTCTTCAAACCGGAAATCAAGGATCCCATACACAGCCTGACAGTGGCCTTAATAAACGACTTTAAAAAAATCGAAATAAAAATATTTTTTTTTTTTAATTTTTAAGCAAAGCAATTAATTTTCTAAGGATGTTCTTAGGTTTTTACAATTATTAGTTATAAACTTAGGTACACAATTTCCATATTGGTTTAGGTTTCTTCATACAGTTAAATTTTTCGTTTTTTTACTTTATTTTGTGAAGTCACTAATATTAATTTTAACTGCCGCACTTCATAGTTTTTGTATTCTAAATTGTTTGTCTTCAGACGAGTTTTCATCGTTTGGTTGTTTTGGATTTGCTAGATTAACGGTATTTCTGTATTTACTTCAGTTTAGAGGCGCGTGTGTTTGCAAGCGAATGCTGACAGCAACCATATGTATATACAAGAGACTGAGCAGACAAAACAAGCCGAGCGCCGCAACATGTTGATGATAGGGAAGTGTGCCAAATTGGTTGACTGATTGGCAGATAATAGCACTTTTTTTTTAAATAAAATTTAGCTCTATAATTAAAAAAAAAAACATAATAATTTTTTTGTTAATGGTTTGTTTTGTAGCCGGTTGAAGCTCAAGGCGTGCTGCAATCGCAAGTCACTTGATTTATTAATTTGTGAAGTGAAGGTCTTAATTCAGCTCTTGCAGGTGGCTCAACTCAATTTGGGACTGTTGATTTTCGAAAATGTGCCCTTCAAGCAACTTCGGAGGCAATAGGTACTATAGTGTGAATAGATGCATCGTTATACTCGTAGTGCAGAAGTTTTTCATACTTACAAAGTCTCGGTCAGAAAGAAAAGGCTTTGCACGTTAATTCATAACTTTCATGGCTAAGAAAACTCGGATTGTGTACTCCTTATATGATCCATGCGCTTAGCAAAAGCTTTCGGAAGTTTTATGTTTACAGTTGGCTCAAAAAATATCCGTGGCGAAGTGGAGTGATAGACTTTCAAATAGTAAAATCTTTAATTGTTTTACAAGCTGAGGTTCCTGGAATAGTCTTGGCAACAGAAGCAACGAGACATACCTTAAAATTTTTTCAGAACGGCATGCGACTGTAATGCCTGTGACTGTGAATATTACAGCCATTTTTGGCTCCTCCTATAAAAATCGTGAGAAATGACGATAGAGACTTAAAAACTATAGTGGGCTAATGAAATTTCGTAGTTTCTTCTTCTTGCCGTGACACTGGGTAGAGAATTTGCTAAAGTTGAGACTTATTCTTTCGAGTTCTCTGATCGTTTTTTTACTTTAAGTCTCGCCCTAGTTTGGCCATGAACGAGCTAAAATAGTTTGCATGTGGCACGAGGAATTAAGAACTAGCTACTAAATGAATAAGATATTTTGATGAGTTTCAAATCACTTCTCTGGTTGTTTGTTGTTCAATTTGTATCAAATGTTGCAGATCCATATTGAAAATACGGGAGAAAAAGGAAAGTGCACTGACGCGCCTGAAATTTGACAGAGCCAACGCACAAATTTGTAACTTCTTTTTCCAGTGCTGCCTATGTACTATAACTGGCTAAACGGGTGGAAAAATTTCCAATCCTGTAGGACCTGCATAAGTTTGCGTCCCTCCTCCTGCTTAATCGCAGTTCAATCGCAAAAAATTTTTACTTGCAGGATTTGTCTAAATTCACTACTGTTGTAAAAGGTGCTATGCAGGTATAATGAGATTGGACCAGGTATTTGATCAAGTAAATAACAAAAAAAATTGCGCAAAAATAAAAGGCGTTTTCGAAAAATATTCTTGGCGAAAAAATTTACTACTAAACCAATGCATCTGCCTTTGCTCAAATATTTGTATAGTCCATTTGGCGCTTTTCTCAACTTACCGCCCATCATCAGCATGTTGCAGCAACATGTTCGCTCAACTTTTGCTTCTCCATAGTAAGTACATATGTTGCCCGGCAACTCTGTGCAACTATTTCTTGTCATTGCTATTGCTATGCTATTGTTCAGGCTGCATTTTTTAATGCTACTACATTTTTCTAATCTTGTGTGTGTGTGTGTGTGTGTGTGTGTGTGGGTGAGTGTTTACAAGCAGTTCTTACCATATTTTTTCGCTATTATATCTATATTTCACGTAGTGCTTTTTATTGTTTCATATTTGTAACTTTATTCAACTATTTTATTATAATTAGTTTAGTTTAATCTAAATGTTGTAAGCAGCTTCTTTGCCATTTTTTCATTTTTTTATTTAACAATAATTTTATGCATATTTACTTAATAGTTTTTTTTTTGCGTATGTATGTATGTTGTATGCATTACCTAAATCGCTCATTGCATCAACTGCTTCTGTATAAATGTGTATGTATGTATGTGTAATTCTGAATGGTTGCATATTTTGTCTGCTCATATGCACTGGTTTTCTCTAGGGGTATTCACGATCCGGTGCATACTGTCTAGCATGGTGCATAGATAGCATAAATAGCATGATTGCTGATGCTGTTTCATGTATTCAAACAACAACAAAAATAAGTCATACATGCTTTTTATGCTATCTATGCACCGCGCTAGACAGTATGCACCGGATCGTGAATACCCTTTATATAAATTATATGCACGTATGTACTTTCACGTATATGTATGTATATGTATGTTTGCATAATTAGTTTTTTTTCTAATTTTAAGCAAACTCAATATTTGATCGAGTTCAGACCGAATTTGCCATTTTCTATTTACTTGTATCTTTGTTTTTAGTGTGGTTGTATTCATACTAATACCTCGCTGCCGCACAGCACAGCATGAGTATACATATTACATACGTATATGTAAGTATGTATTGTAAGATACACCCGGCCCGCCCACTTCGCCAGCCACCGCATTGCTCCTCCCGCCATGTTACTTTTGTTATCGGCTGATATTTTTTTTTGTGATTTTTTTGGTTGTGGTTCATTTTGTGTCTGCACTATTGATGTTTTTGTTAATACTTTACTCATTCTTCAATTTAAATTTGATACTAATTTTCGTAAATATTTTCAAATTTAATTAATATGCTTCTTTCGCTTCTGCCCTTTTAACGATTTGTCTGCTTTTTAACGGTGTTAGTTGTTGTTGCATTCGTCCATATGCTACTTTATTGCATTATTTTTAAAATTTTATTTAATTTAAATTTCTTTGTTGTATTATTATTTCTCCTGCTCCCATTTCGGCTTACTGGTTTAGTAAAATAATCAGCTAATAATTCTTCAATGCTTCTTTGTTTATATATAAAGTGTATCTGCATGTGTGTTTGTGTGTGTGTGTGTGTGTTGGTGTGAAGTAATGTAGTACAAGTTTCCAATCAGCTTCAGTTAGAATCTTGCTGCTTCCAATTATGTAGAGATGTATGTATGTATGTATGCGTCCGATATTCCAATCCTTTGCCCCTTCATGAATAACTGTGGATTTGCTTTTCGTAATTTTCATAAAATAAATTGCCTTGTTGGTTTCTTGGTTGGTTGGTTGGTTGGTTGGTTGCATCTTAAACTGGTGGTTGTGGTTTTTGGAGGTGATATACATATATATATATATATTAGTATATTGGGTGGTACTTCTTAACATTACACATCTTGGAATTTTGAGAGACGCGCACGCAAGTCCATATTTTCCTGCTTCAACTGTTCCACTTCTTGATGTAATGTCGAATTCTTTTTTTAAAGAAAGATATGAAAACAAAAGGATATTAAGTAAGGATATGCAAAGATATAAACTCACTTTACTCACTTCCTTTTCCAGGTATCGGGCACGCATCGCTATTTGATTCTCCTTTTGGCGGCGTGCGTCACGGGATCGCTTGGCGGCAATGTTATTCTTCCGGCGTCGTGCCCAATATTTGTCGTCCTTCAGCTCGTCGGGCACAAACTGTTTGCGTGATTTTTTTATCATCGGCTGTGGTTTGAGCTCTTCATCGGAGAATGCTCTGGTGCGCGGATCGAAGTCTCGCCCCGATGACGCAAAGGAGAAACCTGAAATGTCGAATACTTAAAAGTTAACAATGTTTCATAAACTGTTCGTGGCAAACTAAAATAAGTGGCAAAAAACATAACAAAGAAGACAGCAAGCACTAACCCTACAAACCAAAGTTCCCGAAATCTTAAGGAAATCGTTAGGAGTATCTGATTTCTGTAACGATTTTTTCCGAATTTTCAAAGAAAATTATATGAAGTGGTTGACACGAACTCGTAAAGAAATTTCTGTACGAAAAAAAAGAAAATTCTGGGAAAATTCTGAAAGATATTCTTCACATAGCAGCATTATTTTCGTTGCATCACAGATTTTCTTCCGAAATTTCGTAAAAGAATGGAAGTGTGCGTAATTTATTTAATTTTAGAAAATTCGGCAAAAAATCGAATTAATTCTGAATGAATTCTTTACAATTTCTTTACAATGCAGAATACTCGGAAAAAATGGTTTGCAGGGAAAATATGGGAGAGAGGTTAGAGTGAGTTTAAAACTTAGAAGTATAGTAAGACTTCAATCAGCAAAATGCATCTCAAAAAAGTGATTACATTTTCTGGGCGCTAGACCAGATATTACTCTGGTAACCCCACATGGAAAAAACAGCGAGGAAAGCTGTAAATTTTTGTATGAAGTGTAGGTCCATGACAAGAAAATGTTGAGGTTATTCCACACTAAAAGCTGAGAAGGATCTTTACTGCAAATTATGACACTTGATAACTTATGAAGCCATCGCCTGAACCGCGTTACTTAACAGAGTTACACAACGGAGCATCCTCAAGGCGCTCAACAAGAAATGTATGGGTAACGTGGAGAAGAAATCCGATTCATAGAATGGTGAAACTGCAGGCAAAACATTACTCTGTTAAAGAGCTCAAAAATTTTTATTTTCACAGAGTTGGGAGAATTTGTAACTATATACTACCATAAACATTTTTGTAAAAATTTAACTGAATGCTATGTACAGTAATTAGTAGGAAAATACGCATCGACAGGTACTAGCAAAAACTGAGCAACTCACTAACAAGGATTATATGTAATTGCATAATGCCTAACTTTGTTACTCACTTGACTCGGCCGGTGATGGTGGATTCAATGTTTCCGGACTTATACAATCCGATGGCGATGGGGAACGTTCACGTTTCGTCGTTATATGGCCGAGACCCAGTCCCAGTCCAGCTGCATGCCCCAGCGAATCTGATCGGTGGCCCAAACCACTTGAGTGTCCCAAATGGGTGCCAGGCAAGCCATCAGGTATATTATTCTCCGATAAAAATTCATCCAAATCTGCGTACTTTACGTTGCGAATCATTGATGCGAAGGCGAGAAATAGTAAAAATCGGTTGGTTTTGTTAGTGCCAATAAACGTAAAGAATTGAATATTTGCATATAAACAAAAAATAAAATAAGCAAAAACTTTCTTGAAATTATTCAAAATAGTTTTGTTTTTTACAAAATTTTCGTATTACACACATTTGACAATTAAACAAAAAAAAAAGCGCTTATGTAATTCTATTTTGAAACTGTGAATTTAAGGCGCCTTGTGTGAATTTAAGAGCATAAACAGAATTGAATCGCTCAGACGAATTCGTTGGAAGAAAGTTCGCTGCCGTCGCTCACAAAATCTCTCCAAAGCTCTCAGTGGGAAAGTAGCTTTGTTTCCCCATTTTCTAGCAGATAACTATCAGCAAGAATCAGAATGGCAAAATTTGGTGATTCATCTTTCGCTTTTGTATTTTTATAATTTTTGTTTGTCATTTTCCTTTTTGTTTTGTTTTACTAGGCGAAATATTGCAGCGAATATCATCCGCCGGCATCACTCCGACCGACGAAATTCGCACAGCGATTTGGTTCTCTTTATACTTTAAAGCAGTGTGTCTTCATAAAAAGGTGGTGCTTGAAACTTACGAATTGGTACAAATTTTAGAAATTGGTTGGTATAATTAATGAGAAGTGATGCTGAAATCTGTGGGCTGGTGTTCTGGTAGAAAAAATTTAGCGTGGTATTACAGCACCGACCGGAACACATTTGCATAACAAGTTTTGAGTCAATCACAAGTTTTTATAATTTGCTCAAACACCCAGTGTTGTATTTGCTTACTTGTGTTCAATAAAACTAAGGCGGTTTCTTCCTTATGGGTCTCAAGGCCCTTCCATGAAGGAACTTATGTTTAGAAATGACGCGATAATCTTCTTTAATCTTTTGTTGTTTTTGTTTGTCTAAGTTTCTCTCTCAATTTATAGAGTACGAATTTGTGATGTGACAAAAATAGAGTGGCCTGCCGTTTTACTCCGGCTAGCATTTTTTTATGGGAAGAATACTTTCAGAGTACAACTCCACAAAAAGCTTTTCAGGCGTTCCGCGCTTCTCTGACTTTCAGTTATACAATTCAACTATTGTTGAAAGCCTGAAAAGCGCGGAAAGCCTGAAAAGCTTGTTGTGGAGTTGTACTCCGGGGTATTCCCATTGCCTTCTAAAGATAAGCCGCCATTAGAAACCACTTTTTTGAGTATGCAGATTTGTAGCCCAATCAATTTATTTTTTAAAGTACAAGTTTCAAGAAGCTCGGAGTTACCGTTGATTTTTGGCAATTTTTTTCGATAATATTTTATATAGAAACAACAACATGAAAAAAATTCTCAAAAACCATTGCAATTTTTGACCAACTCCGAAATTGCATTTTTTACTAGAATTTAATGGGCTGCAAACCTGCATACTCAAAAGAATTCTAAAAAATCTGATTAAAAAGTTGAAAATTTGCTGAATTCTCGCGAGTTTTGCACAAAGTTCAGGAATTATATATCTATGTTCTTGTTGAAGAATGAACCGTATTTTTATGAAAAATTGTCGGAGAAATATTATAATAATTTGTTCCGGCTTGGAAATATATTTCGCTACTTCCTTTTATATTTAAATGTGATATTATTTATCTAGCAATCTAATTTTCCAGAAAAGTAATTTAACGTCACGAAAATGTTGCATTTTATACTGGTTTGTATCTAGTTGTTCCGATAAGCCAAATAATCCTAGATATATCATTTAAGTGTGCAATTTCAAGCACTGCCTAACACAAGTGAGTCGTAAAAGATAAAGTTAAAATCGAGTCGACATACATACATACATAAATACTTTAGAGCAAATACGCATGCACATAGTTGTACCAATTGACTTTGATTATGAATTACAAAGAACACTCTCGGTGCACAACATTTGAATGAATGTACTATGTATGCATGAATGTGTACCCATAAATTGCATTTCTCTATTAACAATTTGATAATTAAATGGAAAATTGCACATTGCACTACGAAAGCTTCAAAGCGCTGAAGTATGAAAAACTTTGTGAATTTGTGTAAAAACGATGACGAGCAACAGCAGGCAGTCAGAAAGTTACATATCTATATATGTACATATTACATATATAAATACAAGAGTTGGCGCAACGCTTCCCAGCCTGTTGCAACACCTGTACTGCCTGCGGCTAGCCATCCGTGGATTTTTGAAACTTATTATATACTTCCCAATTAATTGGCGTTCTTGTAAATTTGTCTTTATTCGTATTTTGTGTGTGTGTGTCTGTGCGAAAATTAGGAATTGAAATGTAACATATCAATGATCTTATGTATGTACATACATTAGGGCGGGTCGATTTGTAGGGGCCCAAAAAAATTAACAGAGGCACATCGCTATTATGATTATTCGGGTAAATTCCAGCATTTTTGCCCAAGAAACCATAGGTCTAAAATGAACTTCGAGCCAGCGATTTTTTCTATCTAGTTTTTTTTTTCAAGAAGTGGCTCACCTGCTGAAACAGCTGTATTGAAAACTACTCTAAATGTGTATCTGGGGGTTTTTGGGGTCGAGGAATCTATTTATGGCATTAATTCTTTCTTTTGAAGGCTGCCAGAGGGCGCTTTCGTACTTTTTTCTTGGATTTTAACGTCTTTTTCCCGAAAATCGACAACATTGTCGCGAAAATCCACGAAATTTTACTTTCTCATAAAGCAACTTCAGTTTTTAAATAGCCTTAAATGTTCAGCGTTGAAAATTTTTATTGTTTTTATATTTTTTTTTTTTTTTTTTTTTTTTTTATTGTGCATATTAAACACAGTATGAAAATGAAAAATCATCCTGTCACACATGTTATTTCTCATACAATATGTCAATAAACAGTATTACCAACATAATATTAAAAAAAAAATACGTTAGACGTGTTTAAAAATTTAAACACTAGAAAGTGTTTGTTTTTTTGTCATTTACATTTCATTTATTTTTAGTTTTTAAGTCGAGTTTTTTAATAAAAAAAATTATATTAAAATAAGGAAAAAAATTTATTTTTTAAAATTAAGAGAACAAAAAAATTTTTTGTCCTAACTTAAATAAAATCGATGTAAGTTGTGCATGAATATACCTCCCGTCACCCTAATTTTCAACGCTGAACATTTTAGGCTATTCAAAAAGTAAACTTGCATTACGAGAAAATCAAATTTCGTGGATTTTCTCAACAATGCAGTCGATTTACGGAAAAAAGGCGTTAAAATCCAAAAAAGTACGAAAGCGCCCTCTGGCGGCCGTCAAAAGAAATAATTAATGCCATAAATTGATTCGTCGACCCCTAAAACCCCCAGATACACATTTTGGCTAGTTTTCAATACAGCTGTTTCAACAGGTGAGCCACTTTTTGAAAAAAAAAACTACATAGAAAAAATCTCAGGCTCGGAATTCATTTTAGACCTCTGGTTTCTTGGGCAAAAATGCTTGAAATTACCCAAATATCTAAAATGCTTTTGATGCAAAAAATTTCACCCGCCCTAATGTACATACATACATATGTACGGGTACATAAAATGAAGAGCACGCTTCACTACGCAGCAGAAATGATACTAACTTGTGTTACCTTAAGATCGGCATCGTACGGCAGAGTTTTATCCCACAAATTCGGTCCGAGGAATGCGGTTTGGGCCTCCACATTCCAGAGATCACCCTCCTCTTTGTATTTGTCATCGCCGCATATAACTTCTTTGCTATTCGATGAGGATTTTCCTGCAATGCAAAATGGTAGAATAAATAGAAGTTAGAATGTTTGAAGACATGCTAAAAAAGATATTTTATTGCAATGAGAAATGCAAATACATGTGTGTTAAGTTTATGGACACAAATCGATGGTCCTCGACAATAACGACACAACTCAAAATTCACACAAAAAAATACAACCTTCACTACTGTTTAGCAACTCATGTCTCTAATAATTAATTGCCTTATCTTCACTACCTATAAAGGTAATTAGTAAGGATTACACATGGATTAGATTAGGCAACGGGTTTTTTTTTTTTAAATTTTGAGTTATGTCATTATTGCAGAGGACCATCGATATGTACATACATAAATTGATATTTATAGCTAAACAAATAAAATGTGAAAAATGTTTGTTAAGAGACATGCGTTCGTCAATTTCTTTGGCGACATCCACTTATGACTATTACCAAGTGCTATACAAGTATTTATAGCATTTATACATATATACACATATAAATATTTCTCCAAATGCGACTACCTTCTAAAGTACAATTCAACTCGCTATTTATTTTATTTCTATGCGCGCATTAGCTCGTTAGCGCCTACTATCTATGAACTGCCGGTCTGTTTGTCTGTCTGTAGTCTATCAGCTTTCCATTGACTTGAGATTTGATGACACTTGTCTGATATGGCTGCAGTTTAATTGGCAAGTGCTGAACAATAAAATAATCCAGCCATATAAATACTTAAAAATACCTTACGCATGTCGCTGAGTTGATTTAATTTCAGCAAGCACCCTCTTCGTAGTTTCGAGTCGTTTAAAGAGCTAATACCTCTATCGAAAGCTTGTCTAGAAAATTTGTTATCAACATTTGATTGGATGGACATGATATTGCAATTCAATATACACGCCGTGTTATAATTTTAGTTGAGCATTGGCTTCCATACAAAGTATGTTCGAAGATTTTTTATTTGGACGAAAATTAGCTACACTTTAAATAACAAAAAATGCCAGAAATCAACGGTGAAGATCTGATTATGGCAACTTAGAGGCTGTCTTCTATTTGGGCAACCGAAACTTAACGTAACTTAATGCCATGTCGAAGTCGGTTTCATTCTGATTTTCTAAGTTCTAAGTTACGTTAAGTTAAGTTAAGCTGCCATAATCAGGTTTTACGTCGTAGCTACCTCGAATTTAAACTTTTAATCTAATTAACTAGCTCGAAATTTTCACGAAAGTTTGTGGAATTTTTATATATATATGGCGCAAAGCTTCTAACTGGGATTTAAACGATTTTTGTTAAATAATAAACGACATATATTTTTGTAGAAAAATGTCTAACTAAAGTTAGTTAACAACTTTGTTTAAACTTGTAAACGTTTTAACATTTTGGTCACTTTTAACCCAATCTTATTTGAAGTGTTTTTATTTAACTAATCTTTACAAAATCGGGAAGGGATGTTCGAAAAGTGTTTCTCTTCTTGAAACAGAAACATTCCGTTTGTATATGTTCCAACCAAAGTCAAGTGTTTATAGTACAGGAAGAGATCAGTTCAGCCGCGACCAATAGCTTAGCATCAAATTCTGAAGAAAAATTGCCAAGACAAAAATTAAGCTCACCCCAATATCTGTAATGAACTAACTTCAAGAAACTTCACATTATAATTTATTTTTTCCATGTCGAAGTCAAATAATCGTAGTATTCTGAACTAAATAATAGGCGGCATACAGCGTGCGTCTGACTTGTAAGTCAATTTGGATGTATCTGTGAAAATAAATATGAGTTAGTTACACCGACACGACTTCTGGCATGACTCTGAATGATTCAACTGTGTGTAGTCGAAAGGGGGTCAACACGTATATAAATGACTCGCGAGTCAGACGAACTGTGTATGTCGCCTATAAGACTTATGATCAACGTGAAACTTCTATAAAGCTTATCATCCAGAGTCTTTTGGAGGACATTTAAAAACAGATTTCGTTTTAATGTAAAGCGACAATATTGTCAAAACTCATCTTTCTAGAAAAGGTAACACACAAACTTTGGTTGGGCTTGCGGAAAAAAAATTCTCGCCAGCCAAAGTATTTATCGTTGATAAATATTCATAGTGATTGAACTTTCCTCCGAACCAGCTTTAAAAAATATTTGTGTAGATGCGCTGGTGAGCACCAGAGCTTGTAAGAGAGGAAGAGAATGAATTTACTACGATTTAACAACTTAGGCAAAGTTATCCACTTACGTAGGTGCTGCTTGTTCTCGATAGACGTTCATACTTAAACTAATCTTTTGGAATATGCGAAAAAAATGTTGTAGTACTTTCTCTTGAATTTTTTCATAGGATCCTCTTAAAACATTTCTTGACCCCTTTCTGCTGCAGCTTGGCTCTATTTCGAAATATTAGTTAGTGAAACAAAATCTGTAGGCCGTACAAAAGCCTCATACGTTTCAATGCAAGTTATTTTCCACTAAAACAACATATACCCTTTACACCAACCGAGAGAATCCGCATGCCGGCAAAACATTCGCCTGAGCTTCGAATAAGTTCAAACGCAAATTCGCTACGGCGCCATCTAACGGCAAGTACATATTTCGTACTCGCACTTTACTAAAATGGAAAGGAATCAATGTTCTTCTTTTAAAAATTTGCCATACCGTCGAATAGAAAGTTAGTGTTGGATATTTTTGAAATGATAAATAACTCATTTTCAAAGCTAACTTGATTGCCTCGCTGATAAAAACTACAAACGAATTTTGCATAACAAATTCAAGTTCATGTCGTACTTTAGATTGAATAACCGACTGTTAATAAATGGCAAAATAGATCCAGGATTAGACCTTAGTTTTCCAATAAACAGTGTAAGAAAAAAATATATAAATTTTATTGCTTTATTATTGAGCTTTGTACCACGATCTACCACATCTCCTCATCAGACTTATTTCTCTAGACCTCGGCAGGAATCAAACCCGTATTATCGATGTGCAAAGCCAGCAACGCTAACTACTGAGCTGTCCATACCCCGAAAAATCATTTTGCTATGGATTTTTCCATTTTTCCTAAAAAAAAAATCGTAGTCAATAACACTTTTGAAATAACTAAATTTGTTTTGTAATTTTTTTTTCGTTTGCTTGCTCGTTTTAAGTATTTGCTATAAATTAAAAAGCAAATTTGAACGTTACCAACTAGACAAATCTGACTCTCGATTGAATCCATTTTCTACATCAAGAGATAAAATCTTTTCAAGACACACTTTCGTATTGAAGAAACTTTCGTATTGGACCACCACCTTTAGGTCCGTTTCGTAATGAAATGAACCACAGAATGCAACCTTAAAATCCTTGAAATAGGTAACAGTATCTAAATGGACTATTCAATTAAGCTCAATCCACCAATTTTGCTGACAGATCCTAAAAAAATTGTGATCTAAAAATCTTTAATATTAAAAAGTTAAGTTCTTTGATGATTCGTGCAAAAATTATGCTCAGAGCGAACTTAAATGATTCAGTAATCTATCCTCCTTTTTCTTCATTTCTACCAAATTTTCTTGTTATCATCACTTTCCAAAATAATAGCCCAATTTTTTCAACACAATCGCTCCGCCCAAAACAATTCCATAAACAATGATAAATGTAGGTTAATAATTCAATGATAATAGTAAGTGACCACTTTGACGGCAAAGCTAATGAATAAATCAAGCCATTAAAATCCGCCAACCACTTGGCACTGCTATATAAATACAAACAGACAAACCCAAAACAGAAATCGAGCAAAAAAACAAACAACATGCTGGCAACGTAGAAAAGTGCAAGTATTGCAAACATGAACTGCATGCAGAAATAAACAATAGGGCTATTCGCGATCCGGTGCAAATGGCCTAGCATCATTGCATTGCAAATTTGTATTGCAAATTATTTGCAATACACAAACAAAATACACGCATTTGCATTTGTCATGGCTTGGCAAATTTGCAATACCGAAAATCGATAGCATAAAAATGCTATGCATTGCATTCATAAACAAAACCAAAGCTGATGCACAAAAATTGTTTTGCAAAAGCTTTACCACTACAGTTTAATAAAGGTCGCTCACAATCCATGGCATATTTCTGCAATTGCATAAATTTGTCAGCTCTTATGCACCAAATCGCGAATAGCCCTAATGAAAGACAAATAAAGATTCGCAAGCACACACACACATGCAACCGCACTGCTTTCAGCTGCAGCCACGGAGTTAGTGCGCATGCGCAGCCCACTCAACTAACGCGAAACCCACAAATAGCCACCACATTGCATTCGAGTCCAAAAGTCAGGCAGCAAAAATCATTTCCGTATTCAAAAGTTACATCGTAAAGCACGACAACAACAACAATAAAGAACAACAACATGCAGTTTTCGTTTGCGAAGAGTGGGCTCGCTGTTGGTTGGTCGCTTGGTTGGTTGACTGTTGTTGGTGGCGTTGGTAATAACAATCATTTGACTGTGTGAATGCGTAAAAGCAGCAGAAAGCGCCAGCCGACAGCCCATAGCTACCAAAACAAGGAAAACCAGAAAGCAGGCAAGCGAAAATGATAAATTGAGAAAATGAGAAAAGGCGTGAATGTGAAAAACAATAGGGAAAAAGGCACAATAGGCCATTGTAAAATTTGACTTTGGCTGACTTTTAGTCAAAGAAAACGAAGAACAAAAAAAAAATTAAAAAAAAAACAGTGCCAAATCGTAGCAAAAACGAGCGCACGAAATCAAATCGAAAACGAAAGTGAAACTTTGGCGTTTTTTCGTTTTGTCCATCTCTCAATCGGGATTTGTGTCATTGCGTGAGTGTGTGTGAGCGCTTTTGTTTACTTTGCGCGCCGACTTGTGCAGACATTAGTATTGTTTTTTTTTTTGTAATTTTCATTATTTTTTTGCATTGCGTTTTCGTGCGCTCAAGCTTTTTACCTCAGCGCACTCAACAGTAGGAATGAAACGATACCATTCAGTTGTCGATACTTTTACTGGGAAGTAGTATCGATTTTAGGTATCGATACC